CTACTTAAAATCGAGAGGCAGTGCCAGTCCTGAGCATGCCTGCCCATTTTCATGTCGGAGTCCGCCAGAGCAACCGCCGTCTCAATCCAATCCCTCAAGCGTCTCCCTCTCCTTCACTGCCCCTTACCAAGGATGATGTCCCTTTGGAGGGACCGGTCTCGCCTGAGAACATGGCCCGAGTGTGTAGGATGGAGGAGCAATCTGAATGCACTTTTCCTAAGACCTACCTCTTTGCTCATTTGGCAAGTGTGTGTGCTTTCAGTGTTCTTTGCCAGCACTGTAATTCAAATATATGTTACATTTTTTTTTTATTTCCCATATTTATCTTGGTCCTAACAACAAGCAAATAAGTGTCTTAAGAGTACGCATAATACAAACAAAGAAACTATCCACTTAAGGATTGATTTGACCGTTATTGTCTTTTGTTATGTGAAATACATTCTATAAGATATTCTATGGCCGGGGATAGATCAGGAAGTATATATGAGACTTTTCTTGAAACAGCTTCTACAATTAAATAATTCACACGCTAACATTATTACATTAGATCATGCACCCTAAAACAGTTCTTCTGATCTGTCACGGACACATCCATCAACATTTTGGGGAATGCTTTTTTAAAAATTTGTGAAATTTACTTAGCCATCCATCCATTTCATGAAAGTAGAGTCTAATATGAAATCTCCACTATTACTTTGCTAAAGATAGATAGGTCTTAATCCAAACTTCCAGGAGAAAGTTTTGTTTTGTTTTAAGTATTCTCAGGTCATACAATATTATCAGAGAGTTTTTTTCGGGTCAACAAACTTCAAATCACCAACAAAAACTTTCATTGTAAAATTCTCTTCAAATAAAGCCATTTCATTAGCATTGTTATACCCATGTTCTCTGATCTAAATGCACACCTGGGAAATTTAAAAAACAATTAATAATAATAACTTTCCTTTAGAGGTTCAGAAAAAAAAGACAAGTTTTCTAAATGTCCATTAATGTAAAATTTTATAAACTATTATATTAACTCCATCAGAGACCCATAGGTTTTTTGTATGGGGAGAAGCTATTATATGTAATAAGCATATGTGAATGGCCTTGTCATTTTCAGAGATGTGCCTACTAGCAGTGGCCTTGGTTGTGGTATCACGCTAAAACGTAGCGCTGTGGCATTCTGGGTTAAGTTTCACGAGGCTAACGGCATTGTTGGTTGTTTCCTCTGGAGAATGATGAAGCTGTCAATTCCTTGAAATGTTTTCGTTCTTGGAAACCCAAGGGAAGCTATGAATAAGAATTGACTCAATAGCAATGTGTTTAGTACTGAAGAGAGGATATCTTTGATTTTTCCTGATCTAAAATTTATCTTCTCTTAATTAAATGACAAGCTATTTTCAGACCAAGTTACTCATAACGATTGACCTCTCACTTGCAGGCATCCATAAGAAGCAATTCCTCTCAAGTGATTTACGCTTTTCTTCTAGCGAGTGATGAAGAGACCTCTTTGTTCAAGATTTGACCACCAATTTCACAGCTCACTATATCATATGGAACTGTGGAACACAAAAGACAAAAATGTGAACGTTATTATTCCTTATAAAAGAGATTTATGCAAATAAATCAAGCTATGTATTTCAGTTATTTTTATACCTCTATTATTAGTTTTCATATTAGAAAATATTTTATTTCTGTATACAAGGGAGAAAAAGACAATCCAAATAATCAATAGTTAATTTTGTTTAAGCTGTGGTCTCATGAAAGAGTTTTATTTTTCTGACTTTGTTTTAAATAATGAAAATTATAAAGGGGTTTATAATTAAACAAATACACTTTTATGTATATTCATATAAAAACTAAAGTGTATGAGACACGTGGAAAAGGTCTTTACTAGTATTTAAAAAATGAATGGATCAGAATCTCTGTAGCTTGAAAAAGTTAGATTTTATTTGTAAACCATTGTAATACTTTATTTTGGCAATCTAATCATTTATTTAGCCCCTGAGTGGTACAAATGTTGGTCAAGTGCATTTGGAGCAGGCCTGGTGATTTACTTCTAAAACTCAGCCATGAAACATCCTCTGAAACACAGGTCTGCCCTGGCACCTCTGAGACTGGTATGAGCAGAACTTCCCTTGATAGCAACTGGTTTGGCTTCCATGGTTAATTTAATTGGGAGCCAGGGAGTGTACACATTTGAAAGCTTTCATAATATTATTTATATCCCAACTTTTAATGTTTACTTCTACATGTAAAATAATTATTTAAGTACTTAAAAAGTTACATTTACTAAAGCTGAGGACTAGTTATTTTCTTCAAAATATGAACGTACCAGTGAGTAATTAAAATCCTTTCAAATATCATGATCCACAAAGGGCTTGTACTATCTGTCTACCTTTGGCGTATTTCTAAATGTCCCAGTCTACACCAGATAATACACATGCATTTCACAGCAAGCTTCCAAAGGCCTCGGCCAACGTCAGTGTGACTTTTCTCATTTTGCCACTTTAAATATGGGACTGAAAAAGACGAGCAGACACCACGGGGCAAAGCCAGATACAATTCTTTCATTGTTTTTTTCTCTTTTTTCATTATATTTCCTAAATGTTTAATATGCTGTGGTAATCCATATTGAGTTTTGGTCTTTCCTTGTGTTTGTACACATGTATTCCAGGTACACACACAGAAACACACACACACACCTATACATATATGTTTTAGAATGAGCAGTGGGTATCTGATATCTGTGAAAAGTAAAACCTCTTAAAGCAAACAAACAAGCTTTCATGAAACACTCTTTCCTTTGGTGCCTGTGTCCTCTGAATACATCAAATGGACTTCCCAGTGAGGTCCGCAGAGGGATGCCGCTGCCATTCTTCTGGCGGGTGCTAATGGAGAACCCATTGTGCCGGCTTATATCAGAATGAAGGGTTCGCTTCTTTGGACTGTCTGATATTCTTCAATGTTCCTTGTTTCTCCAGTGATTTCCATTCTTTTCAAAAGATCACTTTCTTTGTTTTTTTGTCAGATAACTTGATCAGCAGCTAGCAGCAAGTTATGCCAATGAGTTAATTCCTTAATTTTTCTTATTCTCTGTATTCTCTCATATCTTAGCTTTAAAATCTTTCCTTATCTCATCTGTACTACAATCGCTATTTCATCTTAACATGCACAATATAATGAAATGAATATGGAACTCAAGTAAAATGTGTTAGAAAGAAAATCAGACTTATTAAACATCTCAAAGCATCTCTGTTTAAACAAATATTTCCTAAGATGAACAAAGTTTATGTTTTTGAGCACATAGTACAATAAACAATGATATAGTCAGATATTGTTTTATTTTCTAATATAAGCTATATAAAATACCCTTTTCAAAAAATAAGATAGTCTGAAATAAATTCTTAATATTTTACAAATATGGGTAGCTTCTAGAACATATAGGCAAAAGTTTTCACATATATACAATGTTTCAAAGAATATAGATTAGTTTTTTTTTAAATCAATTTATTGGGGCTCATACAATTCATCACAATACGTAGATCAATTGTGTAAAGCACATCTATACATTTGTTGCCCTCATTATTCCCAAAATTCGCTTGCCTCTTGGGTTCCCGTTTCCCCCCTCTCCTTCCCTTCCTCCTCTCCTCTCCCCCATGCACCCTTAATAATTTATAAATTATTATTGTATCTTATATTACACTGTCCAGCGTCTCCCTTCACCCACCCTTCTGCTGCCCGTCCCCCAGAGAGGAGGTTATATGTAGCTCCCTGTGATCCATTCCCCCTAACTACATCCCCTTTCCCTCCTGGTATCGATTAGTTTTTGTAAGAAAAAAACCTCACTGTAATCCAGTCAATTCTGACTCATTGTGACTCTATAGGACAGCCTGAAAACTCCTCCTATGGGTGATACCAGGACTAAAACTCTTCACTCTCTGGAAGCTGCTGGTGACTTTGTGTGGTTTGTAGCTCAGTAGGTGACCACTATACTGCCACAGCTCCATTTGTTTTGAATGTGACAGTGCTCAGGTACTTGGAGTACAGGTTAAAGGGAATACATTTTGAAACATAGGTCTTAGAAAAAAGGAATCTGACTGCTGAGAGTTTTATAAGTGATGCTTCAGAAACTTTTAAGAGCTCAAAACCAAGTAATCTTTAAGTAGAATATTTTGGGGAAAATAACATAATCCTGAGGTAGTATAAGTGGCACATGTTAATCTTACAAATTTAATTCATGCATAATTTCATTCTAACATATCAGGAAAAGAACAACTGAAGCAATTACACCAGGGGCAGAATGCTTGTAGTTTTCTCACCATACATGTGTGCAAACATCACTGTGTAAAATGAGATTTCAACGTAATGTATCGTTTAACTTGCTATAAGAGGAAAATGTCTTATGAAACATTTAAAACAATGTGGAATTGCATCTATCAAAATGTACTTGCATTATATTTGGTATTATGAGGGAGTGGAAAGAGGAGGAGGTGAGCAGTCCAGAGGTGGAGCTGGTGTCTTGCATTAAAGGACACTGGCAGATTAAAGCGCTGTGGCGGGGAAGGGCTTAGAGGCTGAGTCAAAAGCCAAGAAGTCTCTTTATTTACGCCTACCTCCCAGCCCTTGGCAATCTGACTAATAGCAAACTGAGCTAACAAGAAAGACTAGAAAGAGGGGCAAGAGAAAGCTACTGCAGTTTGGATCTACAACCTAGGAAGAGTCATCCATCCCAGCTCTGTCAAAGATATTTCTTATTTACTGTGTTCAGCAGCTTGTAAATGGTTAACTATATGCAGAAAAGTCAGCATAGCTGTGAAGTATGCCGTGAATTTTAATTGCTAGAAAAATGGACCACTGCTTCAGGATGATCTAGGAGCCCTCTGCTTAAAATACATACTTTCTTAATGAAATGCTGAGTATTTTGTCTTTCACTGCAACGCTTAACACCAGGACACTACGGGACTTGCCAGAAAGTGAGGTTTGAAAGCAAAGGACGCGACGGTGGATATTTTCTTCTTCTTCAATAAAGAAACAGAATTCCTTCCAATGTCTAATCCAGCTGCGTGTTACAGATAACACCAGGAAGTCTGCTTTACAGGTAAGAAGAAGCTGTGCGCGCTTTTGCTTTATTCATTTCTTTTTTGCGTTATCGTATAGAGATTGCATTTGTGTGTTTGTTGTTTATTGTTTGCTTTAATCATTTTGCTTGAGGGTTACCCGATTTGAATCTCGCTCACTGGAACTGCCGCTGTTGCGAGAGATGCCTGTTTTCTCTGAGCAGCAGATGTTCAGTCCAACCGCTGGCTGTAGAGAAGAGCCGACACAAAACTATGCCATTGTATCTTTTATTGTATGCAGTCAAATATTGGAAATCAAATTTGAGGCTTTCCTGAAGAAAGTATTACTCAAAAATGTCGTTGCTGAAATTCACACATCAGCTAAATTTCAAAAGTTTCTTTGTGTTTGGAGTGCTACTTTTCTGATTTTCAGAGTTACCAATGTGTATTTTCTGGGAATATATAAACAGTGATTTTTTTCTGTCTTTTCAATTGAGTTGCCGCTAAAATGATGCTGCTCTTCAAATTAGCATGTGTTCCAGGCAACATTCTAAACCGTTTGATTTGCTGCTCTTGTTTTACAAACCTGGGGCATTTTGGATGGTATAAATATTTAAGATTTAAAAGCATATGATTTTTAAAAATAGATGAGTGGTAATCATCTGGAACTTATTTACCATTTCCTCAAGATGCTGTGCCTGATGGAATTAATTATCCTCTTTCTCGGTACTACAGGCAGAAGGACTTTCCATGTTTGGGGAGGCAATCCACAAGTTGAAAACTTCAACTTCAAACTGCTTCATTCTAAGCCTAACATCAGAGATGTTTAAAGTCAAAAGCATTCCCTATGGAAATACTAAGCTTGTAACTTTGCCTGTACAAGGAGGCACTATCTTGTTCTCTTTCTTTGGTTACCTATTGTGTTTAAGAGACTTACATTATGCATGTTTTATAAAAATATATTTTCTTTTTTTTTTACCAGCCCCCCTCCCCCCAGTGGTATCAAAAATATATTTTCATGGACAAAACTTTATTTTCAAGATTATTGACAGAACTCTGGGATATTTTATCTGACTTTGAATTTTAATTAGATAAAACATTTTTGTTCACATTTCATACGAATAAAAAAGGGCTTATCATTAAGAAAAGTTTAACAGCCATAAGATCTGATCACTGTTCTTTTAATTTATTTTTCAGAAAGTCAAACCACAGCATTTAAAAATAAGTGATAGAATTGGACACCATTAGAGTTTTGTGTAGCTATTTATACACAATTCTGTATCTTCTGAAAATATGTATATATATGTATTGTATCCCAGCTGACATTTCAAAGTTAGATTAAAAACCAGAAAACAAAAACATCAGCTGCTTACAGAGCTGAAATATGTAGTGGTGTTTTCTTGAGTTAGCATTCTTTATTCATCATATTAGAAATATGTCCAAGTACTCTACTATATTACAGACAGCTTGGAGCTCATAGTTTGAGATTTGAAGCTCTCTAATAAAGGCGAGCAGCTGCTTAATTATGTGAAGATGTTCAGTGGTCCACAGCGCGCTTCAAGGCCACATTAGAAAGTGATTTGTCTGAAGTGTATTTCAGTCATTGTTTTCTATTTCACAATAGTGCAAAATGAAGGTTTAAGATAATATTTTCTCAAGTCTTTATGATTTCCTTGATGCATAATAGAATTATAAAGTAGCAGTCAATATTCTGTCCTATTGAAAATCAGTATAAAGTATGTCTTATGAGAAATTTAAATAGGCATGCTGGGGCATTTATCTCTGATAATATTATACATCTATAGACTGACTTAGACAACAAAGTAAACATTTTTTTAGAGCACCCTCCTTTATTACATTGATTTCTTCAAAGATTTTAATAGAGAAATTAAGTATTACTGTATTCAAAATAAAAACAAATTCCAACCTAGACACTATTAGTAACCAGATAAAATTTAAAGGAAGCATATATATATGCATACATATACTTTTATGTATACATGTATTTATTATTTTTATATTCCTCACAGTCCTTTTTGCTTCTTACTGAAACATATTTTAGTTGTATACTGTATTTCTTTAGTCTTAAATTCATTTATTTTTAAATGTAAAAAATAATCCAAATATTTATATATATATACAAGTTTGCAAAATAACAATATACATTTAAACAGTACTTCTTTCTTTTAAAATGCTATGCTATTATTTCATTCTATTTCTATTCTAATGCTTTCATTCTACTAAGAGATTATTTGGCAGATATAAACATATATGATATTATTTTAAATTCTCTTTGATCTAAATTTTGTATTTTGAATATGATGCTAAAGTAGTCCAAGCCACGCTAGCCCTAGCATTAGGGAGGTGCAGGGAAAGAAAGAAACTATAGAAGCAGTAAAATATTTATGTTTTCTTAGTATTGAATATTTTTATTTTCAGAAGAACATCAATTGTGTTTTAAAATCTCAGATATATGTTCTTCCTGCTTCTGCCCACTAACTCTGTTTGCTGCCATATATGTTTTTTACAGTATCAAATTCCATCACATGGCAACATGAAGGTGTGGATCAAGCTCTTATATTCAGCCTTCTTCGCATGTATGTCTGCACAGACCCCATCTCCAGTGTCCTCGGCCAGAGGTTCTTGTGATTCTGTTTGCAACTGTGAGGACAAAGATGGCACCATGCTGATCAATTGTGAAGACAAAGGCATAAAGCAAGTATCCCAAGTCAGGGTGCCACCATCACGACCTTTCCACCTGAGTTTATTAAATAATGACGTGACAATGCTTCACAAAAATGACTTTGCTGGGCTTACCAACGCTCTCTCCATACACCTTGGATTTAACAACATCGCAGATATTGAGATTGGTGCATTTAACGGCCTGGGCCTTCTTAAGCAACTTCATATCAACCACAACTCTTTAGAAATTCTTAAGGAGGACACCTTCCATGGACTGGAAAATCTTGAATTTCTACAAGCGGATAACAATTTTATCACCGTGATCGAACCAAGTGCCTTTAGCAAACTCAACAGACTGAAAGTGTTGATCTTAAATGACAATGCTATTGAGAGTCTTCCTGCAAACATTTTTCGATTTGTTCCCTTAACTCATCTAGATCTTCGTGGGAATCAGTTGCAGACATTGCCTTATGTTGGGTTTTTAGAACACATTGGCCGGATATTGGATCTCCAATTGGAGGACAATAAATGGGCTTGCAATTGTGACTTGCTTCAGCTAAAGATTTGGCTGGAAAACATGCCTCCTCAATCGATCGTTGGTGATGTCGTGTGCAACAGCCCTCCCATCCTCAGAGGAAGCGTTCTCAGCCGACTGAAAAAGGAGTCTATCTGTACTACTCCACCAGTTTATGAAGAACATGAAGATCCTTCAGGATCACTACATTTGGCAGTAACACCTTCAATAAAAGACAGCCACATTTCAACCAAGACCACGTTTCTGTTCAAACCACCCACCAAGGCACCAGCTTTGGTGCTACCTTATGTTACAAAACCATCCACCCTACCTCCAGGACCCTACTGTCCTATCCCTTGCATTTGTAAAGTATTATCCCCACCAGGACTTCTAATACATTGTCAAGAGCACAATATTGAAAGCTTATCAGATCTAAAGCCTCCACCACAGAATCCTAGAAAGCTTATTCTAGCAGGAAACATCATACACACTGTAATGAAATCTGATCTAGTGGAATATTTCAATTTGGAAATGCTTCACTTGGGAAACAACCGTATTGAAATTCTCGAAGAAGGATCGTTTATGAATCTCACCAGACTACAAAAGCTCTATTTAAATGGTAATCATCTAACTAAATTAAATAGAGGTATGTTCCTTGGGCTCAACAATCTGGAGTATTTATATCTTGAATACAATGCTATTAAGGAAATCCTGCCTGGAACCTTTAACCCAATGCTTAAACTTAAAGTTCTTTATTTAAATAACAACCTCTTACAAGTTTTACCACCACATATTTTTTCAGGAATTCCCCTAACAAGGATAAATCTTAAAGCAAACCAGTTTTCTCATTTACCTGTAAGTAATATCTTGGATGATCTTGATTTACTAACCCAGATTGAACTTGAGGACAACCCCTGGGACTGCTCCTGTGACTTGGTTGGGTTGCAACAATGGATACAGAAAATGAGTAAAAACACAATCACAGATGACATTGTCTGTACATCCCCAGGGCATCTTGACAAAAAAGAACTAAAAGCGCTGAATAGTGAACTTCTTTGCCCAGGTTTAGTAAATAATCCGTCCCTTCCAAGTCAGCCAAGTTACATCATTGTCACTACGCCCACCACAGCGACAAACACGGGCGATACCGTGTTCAGATCTCTTACAGATGCCGTACCGCTGTCTGTTTTGATATTAGGACTGCTGGTTGTGTTCATAACGATTGTGTTCTGTGCTGCAGGCATAGTAGTTCTGGTTCTCCACCGCAGGAGGAAATGCAAAAAGAAACAAGTGAATGAGCAACTGCGAGACAGCAGTCCTGTGCGTCTACAATACAGCATGTATGGGCATAAAACAACTCATCACATGACGGAGAGACCCAGTGCGTCTCTCTACGAGCAACACATGGTAAGCCCGATGGTTCACGTCTACAGAAGTCCAGCCTTTGGTCCAAAGCATTTGGAAGAGGAAGAAGAAAGGAACGAAAAGGAGGGAAGTGATGCAAAACATCTCCAACGAAGTCTTTTGGAGCGCGATAACCATTCACAGCTTATGGAGGCAAAGATGAAATATAAAACCACAGACCAATCGCCGGACTTCTTGTCCTTCCAGGATGCCAGTTCATTGTACAGGAACATTTTAGAGAAAGAAAGAGAACTTCAACAACTGGGAATCACAGAGTACTTAAGGAGAAATATCACTCCGCTGCAGCCTGAGATGGAGGTACCTTATCCGGGAGGCCATGACAAGTTAAAATTAATGGAGACACTGATGTACTCTGGGCCCAGGAAGGTGTTGGTGGAACAGACTAAAAATGAGTATTTTGAGCTCAAAGCTAACTTACATGCTGAACCTGACTATTTAGAGGTCCTGGAGCAACAGACATAGGCAGAGACAACTTTCACTGAAACGTTGTGATTCTGTCTTCTGCCCAAACCTTGCAAATAAGTGCCTTACGGGAGTGTGTCCTCAATCAGAACTAGAGCACAGCAGGAGTCCTATTGGTCTAAAACAAAGGGAGAGAAGCTCAGGGATCAGAGGGAGAAGCCATTGCATTATCTTCAGGCAAAGTAGTCCGTCCCCAGTAAGAAATCCTTATACGTTTATCATTCGAGGAGTACAGTAATATTTCTTCATGACTTAAAAGGGTTTAACGAACGTCTTCTTGCACATCTAAAAGGGTCGAATATTGAAACAACATTCGTTTCTGTTTTTTTCAACATTATTTTCTGAAATCATTTTTATCCATAGAGTAAATAAAATGTGATTTCATCATTAAAAAACATAACTACATAGAGTTGTAACATGTAAAGTCTGTAATGTTTATGGAACTAGTGTATACGTACGGCAAAATGTACATTTCTAAATGCTCTGAACTTGCAACAAATGCAAAAGGAACTGGAATTTGGTAATTACAGATAGGGATGGTAAAGAAAGAAACTATAATGCTCTATGCTCTGAATGAACTAAAACTTTGAACATTTTAAAATTAAGCAAATGCCACTATTAGGCTTTTTAAATTTACGACAAATCATTAAAAAAGATGAATATTTCAGGTGGAGTAAATAAGCAATCTTTTTTTTCTCCATATTTTGTGTAGACAATCCTATTGTCAGTGCTGCTGTGAAATAAGGCATGTCATTTGTGCTAAATGTTAATCCTTATTCTTGTGATAGTTTAAACATGCTACTGAGATTTACCTGTAAATAGAACTAGTGCACTTATTAAGTTTGATTTGTATCTTACCATTAATCATTTGTAAATTTGAATGACCATGAAACAAATAAGTTTCTTATGGCAAGTAATTCACTAGTAGAGAGCAGATAGGAAAAAAATTATTGTATTTTTATTGATGTATTGAAATTTGCCATACATTTTTGGCAAAAAAGCACTTCTAGGGTAAGTGATTTAAGTTGCCTCAAGTGGGACAATGTAGCTTGTTTTACAAGGAAGTATTGCTAGATTTCTATAAACTATTTATTGTGTATAGTTTTTTATATTTTTGACTCACAAAAGTTATCAGTCGTAGGTGCCTTTCAAGAAAATTAAAAATATGTCTCACAATAATAAAACTATAAAGAAAACTCCTATTTAAATGTCCTTTCTTCATGTAGTCTGGCCTACCATCTCTCAAGTTGATATTAACGCATCGATGTACACACACACACACACACACACACACACAGAAACAATACAACAAAATAAGACTCTGTGTGTTCACTGAAACACACACAAAAACACCTTGTGCACAGTGCACAAGAAGGCCATTCAAGTTGTGGATATAATTGACCCGGAGCCAATCTAAACATCCTACTGCTTCTCTTACTTAAGCAAATAGACTTCCCACTCAAGAGAAATCGAAATGATTTTTTAAATGTTCTGTTTATAAAATCATTCAGCAGTTTACACAAGACAACATATAATTGATCAAGGTAATCTAGGGATTTCTTTTCTTTTGTTGCTCTCAACACCATGAACACATGTGAACAGGGTAAAAAAGGAATGCATTTCCTACTTTAAAGTACTTTATTTAAGTCATTTAAGACAGTTTAGTAATTTCTGCATATTCTGTTAAATGTCTGGTTTTCACATGGAATGCTCTGGACAACGAAACAAAGCTTATCTTCTCTCTTGGACTTGGAAACCAAGGCCATCCTGTGGAGAAACAGTCAATGTCTAAGATGCAGGGTATTGAGACTAATTATAAGTTGATTGTCACCAGGTTTATCGTTAATTCATTGTATCTATGCATGGAAAAGTATGCATTAAAGGAATTCCTGGTGGCCTATAGTACTTCATTATTTTTCAGAGTTTGGAAGATGTGGGAATTTGGGAGCTTCTTAGGTAATACGTGCTAAAGGATAAAGTGTTTACATCTGGAATACTCCATATATTTAACAAGTAAAAAAGTGTCAGGATAGTAGTGAACAGTCAACATTCCAAAGTATAAGTCGGGAAGCTTTGAAAATTCCATTCTAGAGAAGAGCTATCCAGAAGCAGAGTTGATTTCATTCCATTTTTCTTATTCAGTTGAGTATCTGCTAATATTTTCGGATTCCAATTTGGCCCTAACATTTTTTGCAACTGGGTGTTAAAGGCTTGTTTCAAGCAAAAATCCATCTAAGTGAGATGTCAACTAAGTCCATATAGAAGGAGCACACCAGAATCAGTCACTGCAGGATTGTAAATCACGTAATATGACGTGAAGGAGTGGAAAGTATCAGACCTAAACTCTCAGAATCTGGTTTGCAGAAGGCTGGGGATGACAGTGGGAGCCCGGGATGCATTTAAGGGAACTCCACAGGAAAGAAGCCTCTGATGATTTCCCTCTGTGCATAACAGAGGGATGGGAGGGAACTAGTTACCAAAGAGAGTGCATTGACAAGATGGCCATCGGAGATCAAAGTGATGAGCCTGACTTGAATGGTTAAAACCATGTCAGTTGACCCACCCCCTTCTTATGCCCAGTGGATGTGACCTGGTTTCCAGTATTTTCTGTAGCTTTTTGTTTGTTTTCATATTGGGGTTTATCTCAGATATGTTATGCCATTAGGAGTGACCCTCTTGAATTTGTGTGATGATATGTTGTTCTGTTTTTCAGTATCTGAAACCCAGGATTCGTGGCGCTATAGGGACAGCAAGTAGAATAAGGGTTTCTATTGGGGTACAGCAGTGGGGGAAATGGGGTGGGTAAAAGGGAGCTGATATCAAGGAGCACAGGAAGGAAAACAATGTTTTGAAACTGATTGTGGTAGCCATTGTTCAATGCTGCTTGATGTGATTGAACTATGGAATGATAACCTATCTGTAGTAACTCCCAATAAAATGATTTTGATGAAAAACGTTTTAGGAAGTTTTAAGAAATTGCATTACTAGAGGACCCTTGGCATGGATCCATGGTGGCAGGGGGAGACATGACCTTATTAGCTTTGGGATAGGGAAGTTTTTTATTAAAAAAAATGTTAATTGCCTAAAATAATAATCATGTTGACTCTCATGATTAAGAAGGAAGAGAGTTGTTCATGGAGACATGTAAGTGCATCTGCACAATATAAATGAGACCACCCACTTAGACAAAGGGCCTATAGGAGTTTGGAAATAATCCACATCTTACCCAACAGGCAAATGTCACATTGTTAATATACTCTTTCTTCTGTCTTTAGCTCTTCTAGAAATAATTGAGGATTCAGAAGGCTAGTGCTGGTTGTTAGCTTTCTTCTCTCTCTCTTTGTGTGTGCACGTATTTGATGAAAATACACCTAGCAAAACATAGGCCATCTCTACAATCTGTACTTGAACAATTAAGTGCCATTGAAAATATTCACTTAAAAAAAATTTTGGCAAATTATTCTACTGCCAGTAAAATAACCTCCAAACCCTCTAAGCAAAATTTCACCCTCTCCCATCCCTCCTACTTTGGTAGTCAGTACTGATCTTTAGTTTAAATCTATTTGCTGATTTTATGTAAATGAGACCACTCACTATTTGTCCTTTCAAAACTAACATTTTATTTAACGTGATGTTTCCAAAGTCCAGCCAGGTTAGATTATTAACTTTTGTCACATTTTTTTTTGCCCTTTCAGAACCTCTCAGGCTTGTGGTTATTTTATTTGAATTTCCTATTACTCCTCCCTCACACAGAAGAAGAAATTTCCATAAATTTCTGGCTTGATTATTATTATTATTATTTAAATAATTGTACTGGGGGCTCTTACATCTCTTGTAACATTCCACACAGCAATTGTATCAAGCTTATTTGTACATATGTTGCCATCATCATTTCCCATTTTCTACTTGAGCCCTTGGTATATGCACCCCTCCCCTCCTGCCCTCATGCATCCATAATCAATTATATGTTGCTATTATTATTTCATATCTTAAACTGTCCATCGTGTCCACATTTCTGTTATTCGTCCCCTTTGGGGGCAGAGATATATATCCAATCTTGTGATGGGTTCCCCCTTTCTCACCCTTCCCCCTCCCTGCCCATCCCCCTACCCTGTTGCTATCGCTACTCTGATTACTGTTCCTGAGGGGTTATAACTTGGAATTTTCTACAACTGATGGATAAATTCAGAGCTTCCAGTCTTAATCCAATGGCCTCAGACTTATTTACATATACTAAATTAAAATAAAATATTCTAAAAAGTGAGATATTAAATTATGTTAGTGCATTTCTTGATATGCACATAATGATATGCACATAACGTGTACTCTAATCATTGCAGGTTTGACTCATGTTCAAAATTTGAATATTTTAATGTGGTCAAAGTAGTACATAATCACACTGAATCATACTTTTAAGACACTAATCTGTTAAACATGTGGTGTATTAAACCTTATTTAAAATTATTTGCACTAAATTATCATAAAATACCGTAGCTTTATTAAAGTGTTTTTGGATATATCCCATTGATCCCCATACTGAGGTGGACATTTTACTGTCTTAGTAAGTAACAGTTTTATATTCATCAATCTTGTCAACCCTCCTTCTTGAGCTAAGAACTCTGATCATTTAGGAAAGACTCCCCTTCTTGCTCCAGCATTATATATACTGAAGTTCTACCTAACTACCTTTATCTTCGACCAAATTCATTTAAACGTCTTAAGTTTTGATACAGTATGAAAGAAGGTGATATTCATTTACCTCATCATATCTCCTGTTGCTTTCAAAATAACGGACTTTATTCTTTATAGTTGCAGAGCTATTAATGCTATCTAATATATGAAAGATATAGAGTTTCAAAGTACATACACATTACTTGGTGCTAGTTACTCTTCGATAGGAGTTACATAGTCATGCTCACTTAGAAACGTGCTACTAACTTGCAGAATTGTTTGGAAAAATCTTTTTTTCAAATAAAAATAAGTACAACTATAAACATCCAAAAATAGCTAGATTTTTCATAGATAAGACTCTTGAAATTATCTGAGGACACTGCTGAATAGATGAAAAGAAAGTTGTCTGTATGTTTAAAAATTCTTAGGAATGTTTAAATTTCTTGGTGATTTGAAAATGAATTTATAGTGAACTTGAGGTTTACTCTGCTTATTTGTCCTGCAGAACACTTTTTTT